CAAAAATCCAACTATTTCAATTTTATAAAAACAGAAAAAACTGAAATTGAATTAAGTAGTGTAGTTCAAGCATTTAGATGGTACCGTTTAATATCTTATGATTCGGAATTCTAATTGAAACCAGGAACAATCAAAAGAAGAGCGACTTTTTCCAACTTTGACTCATAGGAGTTGAGACAAACCCAAGGAAGGAGAAGGGTTAACTACCCAAGAATTCAGAACTACTATGCGGTCACCTCTTTCAGGACCACAATGTATACAAGCTAAAACTCAACAACTCTTTACTATTGTTGAGGATTTCACTCTGCTCCCTGGTTCAGAACATACCTGCTCAACGACCCCATCCAACTGCGGCACCAACTGAGCAACGAATCGTCCGCTTGCAGTCACAGGTCTTCCATGTTTGGCCAACAGGTAGAGGACACATGACAGTAGCACTGCAGCGGGTTCAGTCTGGGCTGTCACCTGCTCTTTTAGCTCGGCAACATAACTTTCCAGTACTTCGGCTCTGAAACAGAATTGTTCGGAATATCGCGGAACAGGGCAAAACATCCAAAAGAAGCTAGACTGATCACAACTGGGAAGTTCATTGGCTGAACAAAACCTGTATGAGACAAACTGTCAAATACCTAGTTTTCGAATCAGGCTGCTTCAGTGAAATAGAAAGCGCTGCTGGAGATGAAAGATCGAAAACAGCCGAATGGAATGCGTCGAGATCATCACCCCGTAAGGAGCTGTATAAGCTGCTCATTGTGTCGCGTAGCACAGTAGGTAGTGATGCGATCGTTCTCTTCTCGTTGCTGAAAGACATTTCATGGGAATACAACACAAAAAGTACATTCTATGCATAGAATGCTACTAATATAATCGCTATACTACTAGTGCAAAACCAGCTGAGACGAGCATGACCAGTAATTACTCGGGCATATCTGAGTGATACCTACCACGCTTGCCGAAGGAAGCAGAGGTAGGTATCATATGTATACGTATGCAGAGCTAAAATGGAACTATGAACTGACCTTTTCTTTCAACTGACCAGCATTTTCTAACCCTGAGGCACAAGAAAGGGCTGCATTGGCCAAGTCGGTACCCATGGTGCGAAGCAGATATTGGCGGAGCTCATCACGAAGTGAGTCTAAATTCAGTATGAAAGGAAGGATAGAAGGAGAAAGCATTCGGAGTTAACCAATCCATCTTGGAGTGCGCCATGCACTCTAAATGAACACAAGTACAAAGGGCACACCTGGAAACGATGAGCTAGACGACTCAAACATGCATATGGAAGAGTACAGCCCTTGCGCTCTTTGCTGGAGCTGTGCCAAGCTCTTCTTCTGTGACTGAGCAGCTG